CCACCCCCTAAACTTCAACCCCCAACCCATTGCATAAAAACCCCCCCAATGAAACCCCCAACACCCAACCCACTGAAAACCCCCAACACCACCCACGGGAAGGGACCACCCCCCAAACAAAAACATAAACCACCACCCACTAAACTTTAACCACCACCCAAAACATCACCACCACCCAAAGGATCTTCACCCCAAAAAAGGGAAACATCACCACCACCCCCCTAAATTTCCCTCCACCCAAAACTGAACATAAACCCCCCACTGAAAAATAAACCACCACCCCTAAACCATAAACCCCCACCCCTGAACTAAAACCCACCCCCCACTAAAACATAAACCACCCCCCACTAAACATCCCAAACCCACCCATTTAACCACCCCCATTTTAAATCCCAAAACCCCAAAATTAACATAACCCCAAAACCCTTTTTTCCCCCCTCAACACCCCCAACTAAAATCAACCCCCCAACTGATCTAAACACCACCCATTTAACTTCCACCACCCACGGGAAAAAATTTAAAAAACCACCACCCCAAAAAAAAGAACCCCCCCAAAGGAAAAAAAGGGAAAAAACCCAAATGAAAAAAATTTGGAAAACCAAAACCACGAAAACCCCAGAAAGTAAAACATCCCTTTAAACCAATCCCCCAGGAAATTTTAGGTATAATAACCCCCAAAAAAGGAATCACCCCATATTTTTTAAAAAACCCAAAAATACACCAAGAAACCCCCCAACCATGAAACAAAAAACCCCAAACCCCCAAGGGTCGCAAAACGGAAAAACCCCCAAGAAAAAAGCACAACCCACGCCCATTAAAAACCAAACAACAAAAAACCCCCAAAATAAAAACCCCCCCCCAAAGAAAAAAAAAAACCCAAAACCCCAAACAAAAAAACCCAAAATGAAATAACAAATTTGGATTTAAACCAAAAAAGGAATAAAAAACCCCCCAAAAACCCAAACCCCCAAAAAAATAACCACCCAAACCCAAAAACCCACACAAAACCCCAAACCCAAGAATGAAACACCCCCCCAGAAAAACAAAGAATTTAACCCCCCCGAAAAATTTAAAACCCCTTTTAAACAAAAACCCCAAAAAACCACGGCCCAAAAACCAACACCCAAACCCCCAAACCCAAACCCCTAAACCTTAAAAACCCCCCCCTAAAAAAAAAAAAACCAAACCAGCCCAAAATTAAACCCCCCAGCAAAACCCCATTTAATTTCCCAACCCCCATTCATACCAAATATTTAAAATTTAAACCCCCCCCATTAAACATACACCCCCATTTAACATCACCACCACCCATTGAAATCAACACCCCCCATAAAACATCCCCAAAAACCCCCCACTAAACACCAACCCCAAACCCATTAACTTCACCACCACCCATTGGACATAAAGGGCCCCCCACTAAACTTTCAACACCACCCATTTTAACCACCCCCCCCCCAGTGAAAACACCACCCCCAACTGAACATCCCACCCACTAAAACATCAACCCAACCCTGCAGGAAAAAACCACCCTGAAATAAAACCCAACCCCTGAACATCACCCCACCCCTAAACCTAAACCCCCCACGGGAAAACCACCACACCCCTGGAACCCTTTCAACCCCCACCCATTAAAACGGGAACACCCCCCCGGGTATAACACCCCCAATTTTGTTTTAAAAAACCCCCCATAAACACACCCCCCCCATTTTAACATCACACCCCCCCCTTTAAACATAAACCCCCCTTTTAAAGATCCCCACCACCCAGAACTCACCACCACCCCCTGAACATCGACACCCCCCATGGGGCCACCCCCAAACCCCTTTAACATCACCCCCAAATTTGGAACTTTCCCACCCCCACGGAACCCACCCCACCCAGTGCATACCCCACCCCTGAACACCACCCAGTGAATTTAAACCCCATCATAAAACATCACCGCCCCACTAAACACCACCCACTGCCCTTAAACCTCCACTCACTGAACCACCACCCCCCATTTTCACCCACCCCCAAACCCCGAAACCTTTAAACCCACTGAACTTCATCACCACCCCTAAACACCACCCACTAAACTTTCCCCACCCCCCCACTGAACTTCACCCCCCCCTGCCATCACCACCCCCCCCGAACATCACCCCCCCCCGGAAATCACCCCACCCACGAACTTCCCCACCACCCACTGAACATCCCCACCACACACTGAACATCCCACCACCCCACTGAACATCAACACCCCCCAATAAACCCAAAACCCACCCACTAAAACTAAAAAAACCCCCCAAACTGAAACCACCCCCCAATGAACTTCAACACCACCCCCTGATCAAACCCCAAACCACCCATGAACATCCCACCCCCCACGGTTCTTCCCCAAAAACCCCAAACCATCACCCCAACCCCTGCTCACTACCCCCCTAAACCTAACATCTCCCCGGAACTTCAAACCCCCCCACGGGAACATCTACACCACCCCCTGAACATCCCACCCCCACTGAACTTTTTCAACCCCCCGGCACCCAACCCCATTTTTCATCACCCCGCCCTTAAAAAACCCACCCATTTAACAAAACCACCCCCTTTTTGAACAGCACCGCCCACTGCCTTCCACCACCCACTGAAACCCAACACCACCCACTTAACATCCCCCCAACCCCTGAGCATCCCCCAACCCCCCACTAACATCACCCCACCACTAAACTTTAACCCCCAACCCAAATTACCTTCCACCCACCCCCCTTTTGGAACTTCATCCCCAACCCCACTGAATTTAAACCACCCCCCTAAACTTTAAACACCCCCATTTTTCTACCCCCAAACCCATTGGACACAACCCCAACCCACTGAACATCAACCCACCCATTTAAATCACCACCACCCACGAAACACCCACCCCCCAAACTAAACATCCCCAACCCACTGAACATCAAAAAACCACCCAAAACTGAACACCACCCACTGAAATCAACACCCCCCATTTGCCCTTAAACCCCCAACCCAGGAAACCAAAAACCCCAAACCCAAACTAAACATCCCACCACCCAAATGAACTTCAACACACCCACGGAACAAACACCCCCATTAAATTTTAAACCCACCCCCACTGAACCTCAAACCACCACCCACTAAAAGATCACCACCACCCCATTTTTCTTTCACCACCCCCCTTTAAACCTCAACACCACCCCTTAAGATCCCCACCACCCACTGAACATCACCCCAAACCCCTGAACATCACACCACCCTTTGAGCGTCACCCCCCCCCAATTAACATTCACCATCACCCACTGAACGCCACCACCCGCTTAGTTAACCACCCCCCACAAACATCCCACCCCTAAACTAAACCCCACCCATGGAACATCAACCAACCCATTTTTACACCCCCAAACCCCAAATTTGGAAACATAAACCACCACCCCTGACCCACCACCACCCATGTTTTTTCACTACCCACCCCTATTGTTTCAAAACCCCTCCAAAGCTTCAAAAATTCCCCGAAGCACACCACCCCCCCCAAAAAGCTCAACTACCACCCCCCAAAGAAATCCCCCACCCACAAAGCTTCCCCCACCCACAAAAGAAATCACCAACCCCCCAAAGCCCCTTTTTTCACCCCAAAAGCCCCACCACCCACAAAGCATCACCATCACCCACAAAGATCACCACCACCCAAAAGCTAACCCCACCCACAAAGCATCACCACCACCCATAAAGTACACCATCCCCACACAAACATCACCACCCCCCCAAAAAAAGCATCACCACCACCCACAAAGCATCACCACCCCCCCCAACACAGCATCACCACCCCACAAAGCACCCCCAACCCCCAAAAGGCATCCCCATCACCACAAAGCATCACCATCACACTAAAATCTCACCACCACCCCAAACATCCCCATCACCCACAAAGCTCACCATCACCCAAAAGCACACCACACCCACAAAGCACACCCCACCCACAAAAGCATCCCCACCACCCAAAAAGCACCCCATCCCCCAAAAAGCATCACCACCACCCACAAAGACCACCACACCCACAAAGCCTCACCACCACCCCAAGCTCACCATCAGAACAAAAGCATCACCACCACCCACAAAGCATCACCATCATCCACAAACATCACCTCACCCACAAAGAAACACCACCACCCACAAAGCACTCCACCACCCAAAAAGCATCCATCCCTCAAAGCTCACCACAACCCACAAAGCTCACCATCCCCCACAAAACATCACCACCACCCCAAAGCATCACCACCCCCACAAAGCACACCACACGCACAAAACACACCATCACCCAAAAAGCATCACCACCACCCACAAAGCATCACCATCACACTCAAAGCATCACCACAACCCCAAAGCACACCTCCCCCACAAAGCACACCCCCACCCACAAAGAAACACCATACCACAAAGCATCAGCACACCCAAAAAGCTCACCACCAACCACAAGCATCACCACCCCCACAAACATCACCCCCCCACAAAAAAAAACAGCACCACACAACCAACAACATCCCCAAACCCAAAACTCACCCCATCACCCCAACAAAAAAAATACCACCCCCAAACAACGAGACTCACCACCTCACTAGCAAAAATCCCCACCAAACATAACCACCCCACGAACACCACACTACCCTGCATTAAAATACACGACTGTACAACAGGAATACTTTAGAAAATCTTGTACGGACGAGTTTTATGAAATACAGTAATTTAAAACGACTCGGGAACTGAGATTGCGTACTGCGGGGAAACCCTTTGGTTATATATATCTCAAATGTATATTCCCCGGGGTTAGTTTCACATCTCTTGTGCATTTAAAAAAAAAGCTTTTAAATTCCCCCCGGATTAAAATATTCTGGACTCACGAAAGGGTGATTTTCCTTAACTGACCAGGTCGGGGAGTGGCACTGGATAAAAATTTTTGCAAATTAATAACTTTGGGAAAATAAATCCTTTAAATTTTCCTTATTTTTGTTTTACAGGTATCAAAAATTTTTAGGGGAGGCCGCAGACATCGCCGAGGAGAGGAAGACCAATCATCCCCCACGCCGCCCAGGGCCCGAGAGGTGCTGGGGGTGGGGCGTCGGGCTGTGGGGGGGGAGAGATCACCCACACTCACAGTAGCTGACAAAAAAACCGCGGGCCCCAACAGCGCGGCAAAAAACCTCTTCCAACACTGCGGCAAAACCCATAGGCCCAACACTGCGGGAAAACACCAGAGGGGCCCCAAAACTCACAAAACACCTACAGGCCATAACAATTGCAGCAAAACAGCTGTAGGTCGCAACAACTGTAGTGCCACGCCTCCCAGGTCACCAAAAACTGAAGCAAAAAAGAGAAAAAAGTCGTTCCAAGAAAACGAAAAAGTGGCGAGTGTCATCATCACAGTAGAGGAGGTGGGAGGTGATGATGATGAGAATGCGAGAGGGATCAAGTCGCTCATGCTGGAAGATGACGATGATATAGCGTTCATAGACAAAAATGGACCCGAAGTGGGAGAGGGAGAGGACTGCATCAGGGAAGACGAGGTGGCAGTCACTAAAGACTCAGGCAAAGAAGTGGCTATTAGGGGAATCATTTGTAATTTCTCGTCTACGAAATCCATTGATTCTGTGTTAAAATCAGAAAGTCCTTCGGAAGATACGAAAAAGTGTGGTGACTCAAGGAAAGGTAGTTTTTGTGAGAGTACAAGTGGCGAAAGTGACAACAAATTTGTTATTAAAAGTGATGAAAGTGACAAATGCCTGAAAATCAGCAATGGTGAAGACGTGATTCCCAAACGTAAAAAGAGTTTGACGTGGTCAGAGGACACGCAGACAATTGAAAGTTGCGACAAAGATCACGAGGTTAAGAAAAGTGTGGAACAGGACGATAACGACAGAAACTTGAGAGATAATCCAAGACGAGCCAGTACCTCCAGCCGAAGAAACAGTCGAAACACTGAGAAGGTGAAACTCAGACACACTCGTTCCTACGACCTCGGGAGTGATACCAGCAGTAGGAGGAAGAGCAGCAGTGTGTCGTGTTCAAGCCGCAAGGGCAGTGAGAACTGGCAGGCGCTGCCGGGACCCTGCCAAAGAGATCACCGAAGTTTAAGTTCCTCCTCACCCTCGACCGCCCGAAGGGGCAGCAGGAAGAGCATCAAGGATGAGTCCGAAGTGGAGGCTCTCTTGGCCCGCACTCCAGAGAGCCGTTCAGACGTCACCCTCACATCAATTCTCAACCACATCGCTTACGTCAACCAGACGGCAGCAGCCTCCAAGATCCCTACGACCTTCAAGGACTCCAGGAAGTCTCAGGTGCAACAGGTAAGTATTACTTTAATTATATAACACCCAGTTTATCAGTTACATATATAAATAAAAAGTGTAGTTCCGAAGATATGTATATTAACGCATGCATGTGATTAGGTGCTTCTGTTCTGTGATATTCTTTCATATTTGTAGTCATGAACTGAAAACGATATATTCTTATGTAATGTGAAGATAGATAAAAGTCACAGTATTGTGGCTGCAATAATTCACAACTAATCTACAAATTTACAATGTGAACTGGACACTGCTTCAGTCCGTCTAAGTGATGAGTGAGAAAGAAATGGAGAAACCGTAAATCTATGCTAATCGTTACTGCATGGAATGGTGGAGCATCGATCTTCCGTCCACTGATTGTGGCCCAGTCTCTCATCAGCCCGGCAGCTGTTATTGATAGCATATAAATTTTAGTTTCCACTTTTGTGGGTTAGTTGCAAAATATCAAATAATCCTAACTTGATCCTTCTGACGCAGGTACTGCTGGTGACTTATGTGACAGCGGCACTGGGCACCTTGCTGTCTTTGGCACTGGTGTATGGCCTCTATGAACACTTCAGCTCCCTCACGCTGCTGCCCCGGCCGCCATGGCTTTGGTTCACTTACGAGTCAAGCTGCAGGTTCCTGGAGTTCCTGATGGGGTGTGCCATGGCTAACATCACACGTCAGCCCGTCAACAGACACCCACAGTACCCCTACTCTCTCAGGCTCAAACAGAGGAACTCCCTCTACATGTGATCACAACACCTCCCAAAAAAGCCCTCTAGGTGGCTCTTAGGCAACTCGTAGTGCAGTGGTTAGTGTTCTCAGCCTTCGTTAGTGAGGACTATGAGGCAGGGGTATATGGACAAGTCTCTTAACGCCTACTGCCTCTATTACCCAATAAACAGATACCTAACAGTTTGTTAATTGTTATGGATCGCATCCTGGGTGGAGGGCCTAAAATAAAAAGGATCTCAGAAAAAACAAGCCACACTGATTAAATTTAGTGGGTTACCAAACCATCGAGATTAATAATTCGATTAAATTTTTCTTTCTCTTTGACGCAACTCCAGGAGATGTATATATTCCTTACTGACGCAACTCCAGGAAACATATGCCTCCAGTTTTGACAAGACTACACGAGACGTTACCTCCCTCTCTGACAAAGCTTTTTCGATGGTTGTAAGGCTTGGTTCTCAGAAAATAAAACCCCTTTCCCAGCCCTTCACTTGTAAATATAACGAGTGTCATCCTATTAACTCCTCCAATGTTATCAGTGGCTTCCCTTGATAAAATATATCTTGTGTTATCGACTCTAAATCAGAATATGTCTATCACCTAAAGTGTTGTAATTTGTGCTAGTTACTCTTGTAACTTCACCTTCATTTTTGTTTCATTTTCTTTGAGTTGAGTCGCTGGCTAAGACTGACTTCGGAAGAATTTTCCACTCTGTGAAAAACAAAGTTTATTTAGATACAGGCACACATAAGTACAATTATCATACACTGTGTAAATTACCTAGGATAACCCAAGAAAAGTCAGACGAAGTGATTTATCCGAAATATATATTTAAAAATGTATAATCATATTAAGTCAGGTGCCCATACATTAGGACGATAGCTTCTCCCTACGAGCCCCCTGAGGGCGGGGACTGTGGCTAGGCCTGGGGACAGTTGGTCCCTAAAATGAGGGGATACTTGTACCTCCTCCCATGGCAGACTTAGGTCTCGAGACACTCCTAGACAGGGAGCCAAGGTCGGGTCACCACTATTGGAAAAGACCCGGATCGGGAGAGTACTGCCGAATAAAAAAAAATTATTGCCTAAAATCCTATGACTATTCAGGTAAGATAAGAAGCCTTTTCGTCGCGTTTGAAATTCGAACAGCAAAATGAAGGCAAAAGACTGAGTGACAATTATTGTTGGGGAGAAAATAACTGTCATTAAATATGCAAATTTAGGCACTCGAAATGCATTAATTCATTTTACATTGTTTCTTATGGGGAAAAATAAGTCCCGAGTACAGAAAATTCTACAGTACTTATTATGAATTTTCAGGAGCGCATTAGAGTTGTCAATTGTCAACCTGCCTGGAATCTATGTAACTAAACCGGTAAGCCAGGGAAAGGCCTCGGTCAGATGACCAAAAGCTCCAACGGCGGGTCATCATCTAAGACCCACGTCAGGGAACACTTGTCATGTTTCCTGACGAACCTTATCTAACCTAACCTACCTGGAGTCCACCTGGAGGGTATTCCTGGGGGTCAACGCCCCCGCGGCCCGGTCCATGACCAGGCCTCCCGGTGGATCAGGCCGTGATCAACTAGGCTGTTACAGCTGGCTGTATGTAGTCCAACGTACGAACCACAGCCCGGCAATTAAATACATATGAACCAAGGTGTAGCCAGTTACCTTCCAGTCACATCTGGCAATTTTATCACAAAGTGGAAAAAAATAAGTGAAATGAAGATTTTTTTTTTTTTTTGATCTATATGTAGCCTACGTCACATTATTATAACAATAGACCTTTTGTTTTGTTTATTGTAATTAAGAAATTTATCAAGAGCTGTTTCCTCAGAGACGCTATTTTATATGCATATGTCGTGCCGAATAGGTAAAACTTGCGATTTTGGCTTAAACAGCAACGCTCTTCTTGCCGAATAAGGCAAGCGGAAATTTGTGTATGCAATAATTTCGCAAAAATCATTCTGAACCTAACGAAAAAAATATGGAATTCATTTTTTTGGTGGGAATATTTATTTGATTTATTTAGCTAAGATTATTTCGCAAGTTTATTTATGAAGGATTTATACATAAGAGCGAAGCTTCAGCTGAGCGAGATGAGTCGCTGATAATTTGTTGCAGATTATGAAGCTTTGGTAACACTGACTGCTCTTCTTGCTAAGGTGACCGTCAACAGTGGTATTCAACACCACGACTATCACCACCACCACAACTATCACAACAGTTATCACCACCACCACAAGCACCATCATAGGCATCACTACCACCACAACTATGACCACCACCATAACTATCACCATCACCACAACTATCACAACAGTTATCCACCACCACCACAAGCACCATCATAGGCATCACTACCACCACAACTATGACCACTACCATAACTATCACCACCACCACAACTATCACAACAGTTATCACCACCACCACAAGCACCATCATAGGCATCACTACCACCACAACTATGACCACCACCATAACTATCACATCACCACAACTATCACAACAGTTTATCACCACCACCACAAGCACCATCATAGGCATCACTACCACCACAACTATGACCACCACCATAACTATCACCATCACCACAACTATCACAACAGTTATCACCACCACCACAAGCACCATCATAGGCATCACTACCACCACAACTATGACCACCACCATAACTATCACCATCACCACAACTATCACAACAGTTATCACCACCACCACAAGCACCATCATAGGCATCACTACCACCACAACTATGACCACCACCATAACTATCACCATCACCACAACTATCACAACAGTTATCACCACCACCACAAGCACCACCATAGGTTTCACTACCACCACAACTATCACCACTACCATAACTATCACCACCACCACCACAACTATCATAACATTTATCACCACCACCACAAGCACCACTATAGGTATCAGTACCACCACAATTATCACCACCACCATAACTATCACCATCACCACAACTATCACAACAGTTATCACCACCACCACAACTATTACAACAGTTATCACCACCACCAGAAGCACCACCATAGGTATCACTACCACCACAACTATCACCACCACCATAACTATCACCACCACAACTATCACAACAGTTATCACCACCACCACAAGCACCACCATAGGTATCAGTACCACCACAACTATCACTACCACCACTAGCACCACCACAACTATCACATCCGCCACAAGCACCCCACAACTATCACCAGCACCACAAAAACTCTTACCTCCACCAGCACTGCCACCACAGCTATTAGCACTACCACTAGCAGACGACAACCTCGCTACCAAAACCCCTACATCATCACCATCACTTCAACCACCACAACCACACTACCGTCACCACCACACAGCAAACAACCCACACCATGAATGGGCCAGCATCACTAGTTGTACCACCACTCCACCAATATCAACTATATTTCCTACATCTCGATACATGCCCTCACCGTCACCAAATTTCGAAAATACATCCAATTTCGACTAAAGAAAACCTATTATTGCCTTTATAGCCATTTATTGGGAACGAAATAAATATTATCAGGACAGCTTTCCATTAAAATAAACTCAAAAGGCACCTAATTTTTTCTCCTAAAATGTACTAAAAGACTGAAACTTTACTTAAAAGATCTAAACTGTTCTTCAGTATTTGCTTAAATTATTATTATTATTATTATTATTATTATTATTATTATTATTATTATTATTATTATTATTATTATTATTATTATTATGATGATGCCAAGGAGAGAAGGTGGGAAGAGGAATGTCTCTCAACAGTTCAGTAATGAGGACACAAATAATTTTCTCATTCCTCTCTTCGTAAAGCTAAGTCAGTGAGACTTAATGAGTGAGAAACAAGTGAGCTGAACTTGCTACCGTAACAACAGAAGTAATTGTATACTAAATAAGAGTGCGTTGTCTGGTGAAGGATCGAGCCTCCGTTACTCCTCCTGCTGAATGGCCCACACGGATTTAGGGGTGGGTGTAATAATAAGACATGTAAGGGACAAAAGATTTACTCGCCACTAAATGTGATACCCAGGAGAACCCTGACCTCGGGAGAACCCTGACCTCGGGAGAACCCTGACCTCGGGAGAACCCTGACCTCGGGAGAACCCTGACCTCGGGAGAACCCTAACCTCTGGAGAACCCTGACCTCTGGAGAACCCTGACCTCTGGAGAACCCTGACCTCTGGAGAACCTTGACCTCTGAAGAACCCCGACTTCTGGAGAACCCCGATCTCTGGAGAACCCCGATCTCTGGAGAACCCTGACCTCTGATGGATACACTGTCTTCCCTTCCTTCGTTTTTTTCCCGCTCCTGTGCACATATCGAGATGGTGACTGTATTTTTGTAGATGTTGTACGTGTGAGTCTTCATGTCATGTGTGACATGCTGTACGTATGTGTTTTCATGTCGTGTGTGACATGCTGCTGTACGTGTGAGCCTTCATGTCATGTGTGGCATGTGATGTGGTTTCCAATATACTGGACGTTGGGTACTATAAGTCTTTTATTATCCCACGTTACCATCTTGTTCAGATCGTCAGGCTTTTGTTTGTGACAAATAAATAAAAATACAATGACAGAGAAGTGTAATAGACACTGGTCAGTGATAAAAAAGACACAGACACACACACACAGACACAACACACAAACACACACACACACACACACACACACACACACACACACACACACACACACACACACACACACACACACACACACACACACAGGACAGGCTGCAGACCTGGTCCAGCAACTGGCTCCTGGAGTTCAACCCCACCAAGTGCAAAGTCATGAAGATTGGGGAAGGGCAAAGAAGACCGCAGACGGAGTACAGTCTAGGGGGCCAGAGACTACAAACCTCGCTCAAGGAAAAAGATCTTGGGGTGAGTATAACACCAGGCACATCTCCTGAAGCGCACATCAACCAAATAACTGCTGCAGCATATGGGCGCCTAGCAAACCTCCGAACAGCATTCCGACATCTTAATAAGGAATCGTTCAGGACCCTGTACACCGTGTACGTTAGGCCCATATTGGAGTATGTGGCACCAGTCTGGAACCCACACCTAGCCAAGCACGTAAAGAAACTAGAGAAAGTGCAAAGGTTTGCAACAAGACTAGTCCCGGAGCTAAGAGGTATGTCCTACGAGGAGAGGTTAAGGAAAATCAACTTGACGACACTGGAGGACAGGAGAGATAGGAGGGACATGATAACGATATACAAAATACTAAGAGGAATTGACAAGGTGGACAAAGACAGGATGTTCCAGAGATGGGACACAGCAACAAGGGGACACAGTTGGAAGTTGAAGACACAGATGAATCACAGGGATGTTAGGAAGTATTTCTTCAGCCACAGAGTAGTCAGGAAGTGGAACAGTTTGGGAAGCGATGTAGTGGAGGCAGGATCCATACATAGATTTAAACAGAGGTATGATAAAGCTCACGGTTCAGGGAGAGTGACCTAGTAACGACCAGTGAAGAGGCGGGGCCAGGAGCTTGGACTCGACCCCTGCAACCTCAACTAGGCGAGTACAACTAGGTGAGTACACACACACACACACACACACACACACACACACACACACACACACACACACACACACACACACACACACACACACACACACACACAGCTGAGTCTCGACCCCTGCAACCACAAATAGGTGAATTAGGTGAGTACACACACACACATACACTCAAGGAAAAGGATCTTGGGGTGAGTATAGTACCGAGCACATTTCCTGAAGCGCACATCAACCAGATAACTGCTGCAGCATATGGGTGCCTGGCAAACCTAAGAATAATGCTCCGATACCTCGGTAAGGAATCGGTCAAGATTGTACACCGTGTACGTCAGGCCCATATTTTAATATGCAGCACCAGTTTGGAACCCACACCTGGTCAAGCATGTCAAGAAATTAGAGAAACTGCAAAGGTTTGCAACAATACTAGCCCTGGAGCTAAGGGACACGTCCTACGAAGAAAGGGTAAGGGAAATCAACCTGACGACACTGGAGGACAGGAGGGATAGGGGGGACATGGTAAGGACATATGAAATACCGAGAGGAATTGACAAGTTGGACAAACACAGGATGTTCCAGAGGTGGGGCACAACAACAAGGGATCACAATTGGAAGTTGAAGGCTCAGATGAGTCAGAGGGATGGTAAGAAGTATTTCTTCAGCCATAGAGTTGTCAGGAAGTGGAATAGTCTGGAAAGTGACGTAGTGGAGGCTCACTACGTCCAGTACCTCTTTAACAAGCACTGCCCTAAAAAACTAAACAGATGACAGCTAAGAGACTGAACAGTCCCTGGCTAGCACCCAGCATTCTCAAATCCATAAATACAAAACACCGATATGAAAAACAGTACAGAATGGGTCACATAACCAGAGACCAAACAAAACGTTACTCGTCAATCCTAACCAGCCTGATAAGAAGGGCCAAAAAATTGTATTATGAGAACAGATTATCCAACTTACGAGGTGATATAAAAAAGACCTGGAAAAACCCTATCAGAAATTCTAGGAACAAAAAAGATATCACGAAACAGCGAAATTAAATTAGCAAAATGAGATGAACCCCAACTCCCACAACAGAAACAGCAAACAGACTCAATGATTTCTTCTCCACTATAGGAAAAAACCTTGCCAATAATATCCCAAGCTCAGATACCCCACCAAATGACTACCTCACTGGTGTGGAAAATTGCATTTATCTGAATGTATCATTATGTACATAACAGTAAATGAACAAAGATAATTATTATTTATCAGTTAGACAAGTAGGAATTTGGGACACCTAGGTCGCAAAAAATGTCCCCCTTCGATACCTACCACTGTCATATCCACAAGTTGCTCTGGACCTATTAATTACAAATAAAAAATACATCACCAGGAATGCTGGTAAATATATAAATTTGTGGACTGTATATTAAATTAATAAAGAATTATATATATACACATTTACATAACAGGAGAATATATCTTAATCATAACACTCACCAATTTGACTGGAGATTAATGTGTCATGTACAGGACCCCCCTGTCCCTTTTGCCTACATTTATGAAAAATTTACTGGCCAGAATTTAAACATAAATTAGACAGCTTATCTGAGGTTCCTGGAGTTGTTCTGTCCTGTCGCCTGATATCTCAAGTTATGCAGGAATGCACATCCAACAATTTCGCCTCCTATTTGAGAGGTGTCAACCCAATTTTAAGCTCTAGAGCACAAAAATTCTTCACATTATATTTAACGTCTGTTACTCAATTCAAACAAACAATGGCGACTGCTCTTCTGCGCAGGCGCAGGCTCAGTTTCCCATTTTCCATAATATAATTTTATTAAATACAATATAGGCCATCTATTTACCTATAAATTATCGTATTTCCGGAAAATATATACAGTATTTCAACACTGCGGCCGGGCGGAGGTCATT